ATCTTCATAATACACTAAGATTCTGAAAATATTATATAATATCCATTTTTTCAAGCGGAATCTAACAAAAGAGTAATGAAATAATAATCGAAACATCCGCGTGTAGTTGTCGCACATGAATGATAGTTCATACTTCAATTTATCTGCTAGATAGTTCATTAATCGGGCAAAAAAACATGTTTCATCACCGAAATAATGATGACAGATTAATACAGCGCAATAGGAAATTTTATTGGGTGAAGAGGACTACAGACAAAGGAACAAAGTAAGTGTCAGTGGATTTATAGTAAATAAATGGATCATGTTCCACTGCCTATATGAGAATCAATGTTTGATTCTTTAATCATATTACTCTTTGTCCAGATATCTCGTGTGCAAGGAATCCAGAGGCATGTCTCGATGTCCGGCTACAGCAAATCTAACCGCATCTGGGCAATTCACATTAACAAAAGCCCATAAGTGTATACAAAATGATGATAAACAGCTTATTTATGAATTCGAAGAGTTGTTACATGCGTAAGTTGGAAGTCAATCATCATCAGGAAAATTAAGATTGATTTATGATGATGTTGCAAGCAGGTATTTATTTATCATGAAAGCAGGGAGACTGCATATGCCGAATTTATATTTTAACTCAGAGACATTCCCTTTATGGTATCAAGCAGGGGTCAACTTGACTCAATTATCTTTCTCAGGAATGCAGAAGCTAGTGTTATATGTCCTTTCGTATCAATTGAACATAAAATGAAACAGTGGCTCAGAGATTCTCGTCTACGCCAACCGCATTCACTAGCTGATATGGCTCAATCCGCGAATGATGTCCGCTGGAGAGAAAAGTATACTCATTATGATGGTGGAGTTATGAGTATACAGACGGTTCGAGGTGCTGATAATTCCAAATCAGTCGTATTCGTTGATATCAACTTGGTAAGAGCTCTTCAACCTCGAGAATTACTTATTGATGCAACATGTTCAAAGTGTGCCCAACGTTTAAACATACTCCAATTCCTAACAATAATGGGGAAAATTGACGATACGGTAAAATACTATTTATAATCCGAATTAATTGTCTATTGGATTCCTCACATGTATTTCCATTCAACTGTTGATAATTTTTTACCAGTATGAACCAATGGCATGGGCATTCATGGAGCGAAAGACTGTAGGAGCTTTTTTGGCAGTATTTAGATATCTCAAACTCACTATTGGAGACAACTGGATGCCCCAAAGTGCCACTGTCGATTTTGAAAGAGCTCTACGTTCAGCAATCAGGATCGTTTTTCGTGGTTGTGTTATTAAACGATGTTATTTCCATTATCTTCAGGTAAGACTATCTGAGACTACGCTAGCATGTTCGACAAATTTTTATTAATAAGAAATGTATCAATTTTACCAGTGTTTAACTAAAAGATTCATAAAATTGAATGGGAAGAAAGCATATCAGAATCTCAAAGAGTGGCCACGAGGCTTTCTTTTCTACCGACGAATTATGGGTCTTGCATTATTGGAACCAACAGCTATCAACGAAGCTTTCCAGAATCTTATTAATGAAACGGAACGAGATATCTTACTGTACTTTGATGGATTCTTGAGATACTATCGACGATGGTGGATTAACACTGTGAAGCCTGCCAATTTCTCTGTATTCGGATTCCACGAACGAACAAATAATGCTATTGAGTCGTATCACCGTGTGTTAACACTCCGAATTGGCCTTCATCCAAATATATGGACATTTATCGGTAATGAATATGTAAAAATAGTTATTATTAAGAAACTTGTAAAGCCCAGCTAAGCTCCTACTTTTTCTCCATTACAGAGAAACTCCTGAAACTACAGAAGATTACAAGAATTGAAATCTTATCATTACAACGAGGAAGAAGTGTGCGACGCCCACGAGAACACCAGTACATAGTACGCGATGAACTCATTGAAACTGCTTGGCAAATGTACGACCGTAATGAACTGGATAATGCAAAATTTTTAACTGCAACAAGTCATATTCTCGGTGGATTCGGCAAAAAATTTGTCATCTGCGAACCTGGACAACTGGCTATGTTTCAAAATGATTTGACTTATCAAGAAATTGGTATGTTTAGAGAATTATCAAGTAATACACACTATGAATCATATATAATTTAATGATTGTGCAAGAATAGTTAATATGATTTTTTTTTCTATTTTAGTCAACATATTTGGAATTCCATAACTTCAAATTCTTGAGGAGGTCATTCCCGTAGTTGGTGATAACCTCTTAGTATGTAAGTATTTTACTTTACGAGCCATTTCAATAGTAAAATTACAATCATAACTGGATTATTTTATTGATGATTTTAACCATTTTTCTCTTATTTCCCGGTAATTCTTAGTGCGCTGTCTAGACATATACCGTTGCACACTTTGCGAAGCCAAGAAGGTTGCAAATATTGTGTCTACACCTTGCTGGCATTGGTCCTCATGCGACAACTGTCTCAATGGAATTATCAATCTGATGGCTCAACATGACAATTTGAACATTGTTTGCCATAAGTGTAATCAAATTGTTACTGCTTTCCGACGGATTGATTAAAACTCGGTTGATTGAGATAACGATTGAAAGGAAAATAAACATTTGTCGGAGTTTAATAATACTATATCGTGCAATTTATGATGGACAGAACAATATTTATTTCATAAGATAATCAATTTAATATTGTTTCAAAATATTATCTTTCTCTCAGTCGTCAGTGGGGATGACATAGATGGGATTATTGATTGATATGACTGATTATTCTAATACTGATGTCATTCATAATATATTGTAAGCTGAAATTTGGAAATGTTGAGAATAAAAAGTTTTCTTAC